GGCTTTCTTCCTTAGTGAAGGTGTGCTGACACCTTTCCACCTCTTTCCCGTTCTTCCTCTCTCCTGTTTCTCACTCATTCATTCCACACACATTTTGAGGCACACAGAGGTGGGTAAGCCATAGTCCCTGTCCTCAGTCCTCTCGTGACCTGGGGAAAGAGACTGGCACACTCATAATATTAGAACACGGTGTTCTGAGTGCAGGGATAGGGATAGGAGTGGAGATTGGGGAGCACCCAGGCAGGGTAATCAGGAAGACTTCCTGAAGGAGGTGCTGCCTGAATTGAGACTTTAAGGCACAAGTAACAATTAACTGGGAAAAGAGGAGGGGAAAGGGCATTTGAGGCAGAGGGGACTGCATGAACCAAAGTCCAGAGGCATTGGCTTGGGTGTGGAGGACAGTGGAGGGCTGAAGACTACCCCTCAGACAGTTCGGTTTGGGCAGAAGGTGTAGCATGGAGGACCTGTGGGCATCTTAGAGTTTCATCCTTAACCCTCTGGTAGTGGGTTTCTGGTGAAGAGCTTTAGGCAAGAAAGGGACACTCAGCATTGTGTTTTAAATCATTCAGTAGAATTCTGCAAGACAACTGGCTTCTCTTCTGCAAAAAAAAAAAAATTTAGGCCATAACAAAATAAAAAGGCAGTGTGGGTGAGGTGGGGTTGATCAAGAGTAAAAGATATGACAACCAAACTATAAAATATGGTATTGGAACAATGGGAGAACTTTAATAACACCTGCTTCCCAGATGTGATTAAATTCATGTCGTTTTCCTAGGTGTGATTGTGACATTATGGTTATGTAGGGGAATGTCCTTGTTCTTAAGAGTTGCTCGCTGAAGTAGTATTAGGAGCTGAAGTGTCATGACGTCATGATGACATATGTATGTATGGGGGAGGAGAGAAATAAAGCAAATACTAGTATAGCAGCATGCTAGCAAATGATGAATCTGGCGCAGCGTGTACAGGAATTCATTCTTTCAACTTTCTGGTAGACTTGAAATGTTTCAAGTGATAAGAAAAATTGAACAAAAAATTAAAGGTACTCCAACGGCATGTATGTTTCCAATTAATTTAATTATCAAACAACAAAAACAGTCACTATTGTCACAGTTGTGCCAGTGATAGATTGAGGAAGGAAAGAGGGCAGACATCCTTGAGGCAGGAAGGCCAGGTGGGAAGTTACTGCAGAGTCAGCGAGTGAGTGAGATTGAGGCAGCCAGCGAGAGAGATGAGACAGGAGATGGGTTTAAAGAACACTTAGGAGTGAAATTGTAGGAATTTGTGATTGACTGAGTGAGGGATGAAGAGGGAGAAGTTGAAGAGGATGCTTGGGCCCTAACC